CCAGAGAAAGGGACAGCCTGTTTAGAGCAATGCCCCCCACCCCCAACCTTTTGAGCAGCAGGAACTGGTTCCGTGGAGAGAGGTTTTTCCGTGGACCGGAGGGGGGCATGGATTTGTGCGCTGCCTGCATCCTGTGGATGGGGCCAGTGCTGGTCCACGGACTGGGGATTGATGATGATGATGATTTAGATTGAAGGGTAGTCCATCCAGAGTAAGTAAAAGTAAAGGTTTCCCTTGCACATATGTGCTAGTTGTTCCTGACTCTAGGGGGTGGTGCTCATCTCCGTTTCAAAGCCGAAGAGCCAGCACTGTCCGAAGACGTCCCCGTGGTCATGTGGCCGGCATGACTCAACGCCAAAGGCGCACGGAACGCTGTTCCCTTCCCACTAAAGCTGGTTCCTATTTTTTCTACTTGCATTTTTGACGTGCTTTGAAACTGCTAGGTTGGCAGAAGCTGGGACAAGTAAAGGGAGCTCACCCCCTTACGCGGCACTAGGGATTTGAACCACCAAAATGCTGACCTTTCAATCGACAAGCTCAGCGTCTTTTCCACTGAGTTTATTTGGAGCAAAGAGTAGCCAATCTAGAAAAGAGTTCCCCAAAGTTTTCAGCTTTGCAGACTGGCCTGGGGGGGTGGGGGGTGGCAGGAAGGGAATGGTTCTGCCCGAGCGGCTGGCAAGCTTGCCCACAGCTCCATTTGGGCAAGTGGCATGCATGCACGCCTGCCACTCACTTAAATGGAGCACGCATGTGCGTGCTCGCCTGTTGCTTGTGCAAATGAGGATGTGTGTGCCCACGGGCTTGCTGTCCATTACCGCAGCCCGGTTGCAAATCCCTCAGAACAAGGGGACACCTGATCTAGAACAAGGAGTAACTTATCTAGAACAAGGGCTCAGCATTGATATCACCATGACGTACGCAGCTGGCTTGGTGCTTATTAATCTTCCTGCCCTGCAAACTCTTTTATGATATCTTGTTTGTAACGGTAGTATTAACAGTAATTATACAAGAGGCGCGATGGCCCAGCGGTTAAAGACATTGAGCTTGACAGCTGGAGTACTGACAACCTGGGTTCGAGACCTGACTGCCGTGTGATGGGGTGAGCTCCTGTTACTCTCCCCAGCTCCTGCACACACCTAGCAACTCGAAAGCATGCAAATGTGAGTAGATAAATAGGTACCACTTCGATGGGAACGTAGCAGCATTCCGTGAATCTTTGGCGTATAGTCGTGCTGGCCACAGGACCATGGGAAATCATCTTCAGACAATGCTGGCTACCTTGGCCAAGAAATGGAGATGATCACTGTTCCCCAAAATTGGACACGACTGGACAGGAAACCTTTTATCTGAATAGTAATAATCTTAACAACTTATTAAGTGAACAATATACTTATCTGTAGCAATATCTATGGAGATTCTCAGCCATGCAGGTCATGATTGTCCCAAAAGTGCTTTTTCAAAAGGAAACTGGACTTTTTCCTTGAAGACATTTCGCTTCTCATCCAAAAAGCTTCTTCACTTCCCTTTTTCAGTATTTGGAGCAATGTTGTCTTCACCAGATAGGAAGGCAAAAGTGGTTGTTGGTTTCTTTCCTTCCGGTGAATTGAGACAGTCTTTTTCTTCTGTGATAAGAATAAACCTGAGAATGAAAGGAAACCAGGCTGGTGATTTTTAACAACTGAAGTTGAAAGTCTGAGTCCGAGATGACTTGAAATTGGACAACCATATGTTAGGAATGGACTCCTTGCTCAAGCGGGGGTTGGACTAGAAGACCTCCAAGGTCCCTTCCAACTCGGTTACTGTTACCTCCAAGGTCTCTTCCAATTCTCTTGTTCTTCGTTCTATCAGCACAAAAAGATTAATCTAACTCTGTCTAACAAAATGAAATCCAATGGTGAAAAAAAGAAGGTTCTACATTTCGGCAACAAGAAAAACAAAATGCACAGGTACTGTATATGTAGTACCTCACTCAATAATAGTAATTGAAAGAGGAATCTTGGAGTCCTAGTGGACAACCGTTTAAATATGAGCCAGCAGTGTGCTGCAGTTGCCAAAAAAAGCCAACACAGTTCTGGGCTGCATCAACAGAGGAATAGAATCAAGATCACGTGAAGTGTTAATACCACTTTATAATGCCTTGGTAAGGCCAAATGTGGAATACTGCATCCAGTTTTGGTCGCCACAATGTTAAAAAGATGTGGAGACTCTAGAAAGAGTGCAGAGAAGAGCCACAAAGAGGATTAAGGGACTGGAGGCTAAAACATGTGAAGAACGGTTGCAGGAACTGGGTATGTCTAGTTTAATGAAGAGAAGGACTAGGGGAGACATAATAGCAGTCTTCCAATATCTCAGGGGCTGCCCCAAAGAAGAGGGAGTCAAGCTATTCTCCAATGCACCTGAGGGCAGGACATGAAGCAATGGGTGGAAACTAATCAAGGAGAGAAGCAACTTAGAACGAAGGAGAAATTTCCTGACAGTTAGAACAATTAGCCAGTGGAACAACTTGCCTCCAGAAGTTGTAAATGCTCCAACACTGGAAGTTTTTAAGAAGATGTTGGATAACCATTTGTCTGAAGTGGTGTAGGGTTTCCTGCCTAAGCAGGGGGTTGGACTAGAAGACCTCCAAGGTCCCTTCCAACTCTGTTCTTCTATTCTATTCTATTCTATTCTATTCTATTCTATTCTATTCTATTCTATTCTATTCTATTCTATTCTATTCTATTCTATTCCTTCGCAGGTTCGTGATTTCATTTCCTCTTGTCTTGTTTCTTTAAAGAGATGTGATTTACTTGGGAGGATAGCAAATTGTTTCAGCCGCTCTTTTGAATATTCATGTCTTATTTACACCAAATAAGCATCCCGTTTCTGGATGGAATAAAGCAGATCATTGTTCTGGCCTTATCCCTACCCTCAATGTCCTGAATTTTAAAAAAACAAAACAAAACAACAAACGAGAATACAATTTAGGAAGCATATTGAAGGATAGAGTTCTTTTAAAGTTTTTAGTTCATTCCCTTCCCCTTCTGACTCCCTGCTGTGCTGGCAGGATGTTGTTCAGAAAGAAAATATTTACTCCTTTTGAAGAAAGGAAAAAAAAAAAGGAGGAAAGGTAAAACAGATCCTTTAAAACAACAGCGCCAGGGCTGTGGGGACTGAACAGACAGCTTCTTGTCAGCCCGGGCTCTTTAAGTCAATGCCCACGGCTCGGTTGTTTGTAAAAGCTGCTGAGATGGAGCTTTCACCCCATCTGTTAGTTGACACTGACGGAGCCCCTCCTGGGATTTCCCCCCCACTCTCTCTCTTGTGTTCTTAAGACCCCCCCTCCTCCTCCTGTCTCCATTTGTTGCTCTTCCCCACCCTGTCATTCGCCTGGTTGAGACGTTACTTTCTTGACAAGCTTTCCTTGCGTCTGGCTTGTTGGGTTGGCTTTGTTGAGGGTGGGTGGGTGGAGAACGCATCCATCCATCCATCCACCCATCCACCCACCTACCCCTCCCTCCTTCCTCGCTGCGCCTCTCTTCTCCAACAACCTCTCAATTATTCCCTTCCCCTCCCCACAATTAACATTCTCCTAACTTGACACGTCTTCCCCTCATTTTGGCTCCGGTTATGGCTATCCTATCCTATCCTCCATCCCATCCCACCCCGCCCCTTCCATCTCCCTATTAATTCCAGACATTAATATTTTCTTTCACGCAAGGGCCGCCGTTCACCCGTGAAACAGTTTGAACATTAGGTAGCTGTCAAGATGCCCGGGGACTACCCAGCATGCTTTCTTCCGACACCCCTCCGTAAGTGACACCACCGAGGACCTGCTTCGGAGATGTTTATTTGGAGAGGGAGCTGAAAGGCGTGAAGGCTTGATCCCAAGGAACCCATCTCATTTAATTAAAATACTCTTTCATTATATTTCGCCTTTCTCCCCACCCCCATCCCCACCCCCCCCTTTCCTCGCCCCAAAAAGAAAAGGGAAAGAAAGAAAGAAAGAAAAGCTCCTTTGGGTTGGGAGACGTTGCATCAGTTTTGCAGAAAGGAGGCAAAGGGAGAGGTTATCCCACCCAGCCGAAGCTGTTGTGTGGTCGATGCTGTTGTGTGGGGTTTTTTTTCCCCCCACTCCCCCTGTTTAGGAGGAGAAATATTGTGGGGGGGATTACTTTGTGGGCCCATACTTTGCATTTTGAAGTTGGGATTTATGGCATGGATACCTCTCGTTTCACTTAAGCAAGCAAGCAAACAAATAAACAACGGATACATTGCATTGAGGCCACTTAATTTTTGCAGGGATTTTTCTTCAGGGGTGAAATCCAGCAGGTTCTGACAGGTTCTGAAGAACCGGTAGCGGAAATTTTGAGTAGTTCGGAGAACCGGCAAATACCACCTCTGGCTGGCCCCAGAGTGAGGTGGGAATGGAGATTTTGAAATATCCTTCTCCCAGGAGTGGGGTGGGAATGGAGATTTTTGCAGTATCCTTCCCCTATGCGTGCGCCGGCCAGCTGATTTTTGGGCCTTCTGGGCCCACCTGAAGTTGGTAAATGGGCTGTTTCTGGCCTCGGAGGGCCTCGGGTGGGGGTGGGGGCGTTTTCGCCCTCCCCAGACTCCTAGAAAGGCTCTGGAGCCTGGGGAGAGCAAAAAACGGGCCTACTGGGCCCACCATACCATCGTCTGCCAAAAGTGGGGGGAGCGCAGGGAGGGGAGTGCGCACATGCACGAGGGGGGCAGGGCACATAAAATTATAGGTGGGCACATGCACGCGTGACATACCCCCCCCCCGGTGCTCCACCCGCTTTTGGCATGTGATGGCAAAAAGGTTAGCCATCACTGCCCTATAAACTGTGGCTGGTGTCCGCTTTGATGGTGGTTTTTTTGGGCAGCCCGGTTTCTTTTTACCATTAACCTTGCTTCACTACTATTATTATTATTGAGTAAATTTGTACACTGCCCAAGTCCTCCGCAACTCTGACCTTTGTTAACACGATCTTTTATTATGCTTTGCTACTAAGGTACGAGCGACCCATACGTGAAGTTTAAGCTGAATGGAAAAACCCTGTATAAAAGCAAAGTGGTCTATAAAAACCTGAATCCAGTTTGGGATGAAACCGTTGTGCTTCCAATACAATCTTTGGACCAGAGGCTCTGGGTGAAGGTAAGCCGCCCATCCGACCGTATCAAATGTCGCCGTATGTGATGTTGTCCCTGCCAGCCGACTCGGTTGTGTTAACGAGAGGAGGGAGATTTCCCTGAGAATTCATCCATGCATTTTTAATTTTTTTTTGCTTGAGGAAAGGCTTGTTACCTAAAGGAATCTTTCAGATGTAGGTAATTCTCTTTGGTGATGTTTGCAACCAGATGGCCTGCTCGAAGTGCAAAGTGTACAACTCCCTTCACTTCCTTTAAGGATGTCGTCACAACTTTGCAAGCTCCCTCTTTCCTTCTCCCAAAGCAAAGCCCATTTCGTGCAATTTTTCCCCATGCATAAAACCGTGTTTTGTTTTTGTTTTTTTTTAATTTGATTTATATGCTGCCCTTCTCCGAAGACTCAGGGCGGCTTACAATGCGCTAAGCAATAGCCTTCATCCTTTTGTATATTTATACAAAGTCAGCTTATTGCCCCCACAAACTGGGTCCTCAATTTACCTACCTTAGAAAGGATGGAAGGCTGAGTCAACCTTGAGCCTTGGCGAGATTCGAACCCTGCAGTAATTGCAGGCAGCTGTTGAATTCCTTTCCTATATTTTCTATCATTTCCTTTCCTATATTTTCCATCATTTCCTTTCCTATATTTTCCCATCATTTCCTTTCGTATATTTTCCATCATTTCCTTACCTATATTTTCCATCATTTCCTTTCCTATATTTTCCATCATTTCCTACCTATATTTTCTATCATTTCCTTTCCTATATTTTCTATCATTTCCTTTCCTATATTTTCTATCATTTCCTACCTATATTTTCCATCATTTCCTTACCTGTATTTTCCATATTTCCTTTCCTATATTTTCCATCATTTCCTTTCCTATATTTTCCATAATGGACGCGGTAGCTCAGTGGCTAAGACGCTGAGCTTGTCGATTGAAAGGTCGGCAGTTCAGCGGTTCGAATCCCTAGTGCCACCTAACAGGGTGAGCTCCCGTGACTCGTCCCAGCTTCTGCCAACCTAGCAGTTCGAAAGCATGTAAAAAAAATGCAAGTAGAAAAATAGGGACCACCACACCACACCCCGCCCACCAAGCCACGCCCACAGAACCGCTAGTAAAAAAAAATTGGATTTCACCACTGCTGTAGAGTAGAATGATCTTGTCATCTTAAAACCCCAAACCTTGAGAAACAGATGTTCCATAACCTTGAGATGGTCTCATCGACATCTGGTAGAAACAAATCCTCCTTATCCTTGATGATTTTTGGCAAAACCAGATGAAGCCTTCCAAACATAAGATAAGATAGACTTGTCCTTGGTAAATCCCAGTAGGATGAAATATGCGAAACAGATGTCAGTAAAGGTGTTTAAGAGCCTATATCGTATCTTCAGTGAAGACCTAACCGAGTGGCTTTGAAGAGGACCATCTACCATTATCTCTTTGGGGGTTCCCTGATTGGCTGAATGGGCTCACAATCTTTCTTTTCTTGCCGTGTAGTATTCTTGTATTCTCGAATATTCACGTTACGTTCTTTTCTTACGGTATCTTGGATTTATTCATGGATTGATACTGCCTTCGATACTCCTACTGACGTGATCATTGCTTCTGAATCCAAAAGAATCCTGCTCAATTGGAGACAAAACCCTCTCCTGAGACCGAGAACTTATTCCTTTTTGTGTTACATTAATAGTTGGTTCAGTTTCATTGGCAAACGTTGAACTAAAAAAAGACCAATCTGAAATTATTTTCCGACAACCAGATCTCTATTTTGCCTTCCACTTTCTCTTCTCCCGTTCCATAGGTATCAGGTGTATGATCAGACTTCTTCTGATTTTGTGGGTTCAGCAGTTGTAATGCTTCGCAAACTGGGGGTTGACAGCCTCTTGGCTTTCCACACATCCATTGAGTCAGAGGTGGGTTTCAGCAGGTTCTGACCAGTTCTGCAGAACCGGTAGCGGAAATTTTGAGTAGTTCGGAGAACCGGTAGTAAAAATTCTGACTGGCCCCGTCCCCGTCTATTCTCTGCCTCCCGAGTCCCAGCTGATCGGGAAGGAATGGGGATTTTGCAGTAACCTTCCCCTGGAGTGGGGTGGGAATGGAGATTTTACAGTATCCTTCCCCTGCCACGCCCACCAAGCCACGCCCACTAAGCCACACCCACAGAATGGTAGTAAAAAATTTTGAAACCCACCACTTCATTGAGTGTCAGGGAAAAATCGCAGGTGGACCCTGCTTGCAAAAATATTTTCAATAGCAGGGTACTCCCTACTAGAAACCCTCTAAGGAAATTTTTCCTAACTCTTTCTAACTCCAAATTAGGTGGAGACATTCAGAAGGCTTTCTGGTGAATGGTGCGTTGGCCTAGAGGTGGAGATCTTGCCTCGCAATCAGGAGGCTGTGAGTTCAATCTTAGGTAGAGGCAGATATTTCTCTCTCTGGGCAAACTGAGAATATATCTGCTGAACAAAACTCCGCATTGGCGACAGGAAGGGCATCCGGCCATTAAAACACTCTGCTAGCTCCATTCAGTTGCCCAGACTTCACCTCGCAAGGGATTATGGGGTCGTTAAATGGAGATGAGGATGATGATTCAGAAGAGTTTCTGGGCCTAACTCTGTTTTAGTTTGTTTGGACCTGCCTGTCTGAAAGAGGCAAACATGGCATTTGTAAGGAAACCATAAACCAGAGGTCTGCAACCTTAAACCGACCCTCTGGAATGGGTTGCCCACCGGGCTCCGGACGGCCCCCGACCTCCGCACCTTCCACACTGACCTAAAGACATGGCTCTTTCGGCAACTTCCCTGATCTGCCGTGGATTTTAACTTGGGGATTTGGGGATTTTAAATTGGTTTTAACTATCTATCTAATTTTATCTATTGTTGGCTTGTTTTTATTGCTGTGAGCCTTCCCGAGTCCTACGGGAGAAGGGCGGCATATAAATCTGACAAACAAACAAACAAACACTCAAAGACCCGTTTCTCATAGAAAAGAAAACATCGGGAGCCACAAAACCTGGCTGGGCGTGGCCAACTCGACGTCACTCACTTCCACCAGTCACATGATCCTCCCCCAGCCATGCCTATCTTTCTTGTTAAAAAACACCAGGAACCACAAAACCCTTTTGACATCTCTCTCTCTCTCCTTCCCTTCTCTCTCCCTCTCTCCCCCTCCAGTCTCTCTGTATCTCTCTATGTCTCTCTCTATCCCCCTCTCTCTGTATCTCTCTGTCTCTGCTCCGGCCACTTCTCCATCACCCGCCGCCACCCTTACCTTCTCAGGCCAGGCAAGGAGTGATTGGGAGGGGAGGGCGAGGGGCGGGGCCAGCCAGTGGTGGGATCACCTGACAGGGAGCCACAGCAGAGGGCCCAAAGAGCCTCATGCGGCTTCAGAGCTGCAGGTTGCTGACACATGCCATAAACGTTGGGACTTTAAGTATCTCTCATCCCAAAATATGGGCCTATTTAGTTTCCCGAACTAAGTTATAAAGGAGGATCCCGGACCTGCGCGCTTTCTGCCGTGCCACCAAAACATTTCTTTTCCAGCAGGCCGGCCTGGCCTAACCTCTCTTTTAAACTTTTTAAAAATTTCTAAATTTTAAATTTGTCTTATGAATTTGGGGTGTTTTAAATTTTGTTTTCCGGGCCAATTATTTAATTGTATTTTAATGGTTTTTTAGCATTTGTATTATATGTATTTTATTTGGCTGTTCACCGCCCTGAGTCCTTCGGGAGAAGGGCGTTATACAAATTTAATAAATAAATAAATAAAAATAAATAAATAAAAATAAATAATTACCATGTTTCCCCCAAAATAAGACCAGGTCTTATATTAATTTTTGCTCCAAAAGACACATTAGGGCTTATTTTCTGGTTAGATCTTATTTTTGGGGAAATATGGTTCTAAATGCATCCATTTAACAATCTTAACTGGGCCTTATTTTGGGGGGTAGGGCTTATATTACGAGCATCCTGAAAAATCATGCTAGGACTTATTTTCCGGTTGGGTCTTATTTTCGGGGAAACAGGGTAGTAGATTGTGATGGCTTACTGGTAGCTTGTACAAACTCCATCTTGGTTTGTAACAGATAAAAGGTGACACTTAGAAAGGTGGGGGGGAAATAAGATCTTGGTTTGTGAAAACGTGGTGTATATTTTTGAGAATAGTTCCATCAGTGATAGCAACACAACAGCAACAAGAAGGCCATGGTTAAAGAGCCTGAAAGCTTATTCTTGTTTGTTATATTCATGATTGATTCAGTTTCATTGGCAGAGACTGAACTAATAAGGCCAACCTGAAATTATTTTCAGATAATCAGATCTGTATTTTTTTCCCGCCCTTCCTCTTCCTCTTCTCCCGTTCCATATGCTTCAGGTTTATGACAGAGACTTGACTTCTTCTGATTTTATGGGTTCGGCAGTCCTAATGCTTCACAAACTGGAACTGAACAGGTAATCTTAACATTTATATTTGTCTTTCAAAATGCACTTCTCCATTACAGAGCACTTAAGGTGCTTGGTACAGTTGCGTTCTATATGGGCTCGATGAATATTTGACTCTTTTTCAGTGTTTTGCTCTTGAATTAAATATGAGGCTTTTTGGCCCAAAGGTGCTTTTTCAAGAGGCAACGGACTTTCTGATTTTTTCTTTGAAGATGTTTCGCTTCTCATCCATGAAGCTTCTTCAGGAAGAGGTTTTCTTGGATGAGAAGTGTAACGTCTTCAAAGAAAAAATAGAATAGAAATAGAAATGGAAATGGAAATGAAAATGGAAATAGGAATAGAATAATAGAATAGAACAGAACAGAACAGAACAGAACAGAACAGAACAGAACAGAACAGAATAGAATAGAATAGAATAGAATAGAATAGAATTGGAGTGGAGTGGAGTGGAGTGGAGTGCAATGGAATAGGATAGGATAGGATAGGATAGGATAGGATAGGATAGGATAGGATTAGGATAGGATAGGATAAGAATTAGAGTAGAGTGGAGTGGAGTGGAGTGGAGTGGAGTGGAGTGGAGTGGAGTGGAGTGGAGTGGAGTGGAGTAGAGTAGAGTAGAGTAGAGTAGAGTAGAGTAGAGTAGAGTAGAGTAGAATAGAATAGATAGAATAGAATAGAATAGAATAGAATAGAATAGAATAGAATAGAATAATAGAATAACAGAGTTGGAAGGGACCTTCAAGGTCTTCTAGTCCAACCCCCTGCTTAGGCAGGAAACCCTACACTACTTCAGGCAAATGGTTATCCAACATCTTCTTAAAAACTTCCATTGCTACTAAGTGGTAGAAATAATTTTTCTTTTTCCCTTGGAGAAAGAATAATCTTCCATCCATTTTTTTCGTCCCTCCCCCCCAATTTTTTTTGGGGGGGGAAAAACCCTATAAAATCTGTCCCCAAAATACTTTGTCAACTAGACAATTTATTCATGGGTGCATTTATCTCCAATAAACATTTTGGGTACATAGATTAAAGGAACTATCTCAAAATGCTTTGTCAAAAGGCAAGTAGACTTCCTTGGGTTTTTTTTTTTTTCCTTGAAAACTTCTTGCTTCTCTTCCAAGAAGCTTCTTCCGTTTGAACTGAAGACTTCTTTGGACGAGAAGCAAAATGTCTTCAAGGAAAAAACTTAAGGAAGTCCAGTTACCTTTTAATAAAACATCTTTGGGGAAATCATGTGTTCTGATCTGGCTCCCAAACACGACAAACCCTCTGTAGTTAAACAAATGTTCCCTTTATTAGGAGTGCCAGCAGCCCTGGGAAAAAGTCTGTCTGTCCGTCCGTCCGTCCCTCCCTCCCTCCCCCCCTCTCTCTCACAGCAGGCTAAGTCCGGCAGGGAGTGAATAGTTGTCTGCCACTTCTATTCATCTCCGCCCCCTGCCTTTTATCCCCAGAGCTAAGGTGGGGCTTCGATAGCAGCAGTGGCTCTTCCATCCCAAGGACCGGCCCATAGATTTCCACTGCTCTCCTCTCCTCTGCCTTCTGCGCATCCGCACATCAGGCACTGGACCCAGCTGTTCCTCCTCTTCCTCATCAGCCACCTCCAGACCTGAGGGCTGTTGACTCTCCATCTAAGGGCTGACGGATGGCCCAGGCTCTGCCTCTCTCTCTGCCAGCTCCATTCCCTCTTCCCCCTCGGAGCTCTCAGGTTGCTTTGATGCTGGCCCTGACTCCCACGCTGCCCCCTCATCTGATGCAGCTGCTGGAGGGGCCGGAGGCCAATAGGCCATACCACCATGACCTGAATGACTGAGAATCTCCATAGACACCTGTAAAGACTGCTTTTGGTTGATTCTGGTTGCTAGCTGAGTCTAATTTCTTTTTTCTCACCCAGGACTACGGAGAGGATCCTTAAATTGGAAGACCCAAATAGCTTGGAGGATGATATGGGTGTGATTGTGTTGAATTTAAGACTTGGTGTGAAGTCGGGCGATATTAAAAGAAATGTAAGTAAGACTACCAGAGCCATTCTGGCTTTCCTGGTGGGAAGGAAGAGATGGACAGAGGGCTGGCATCTGTGGTTGCATATTGTCGTGTGCCAGGCAAATTCATACTACTGTTGTGACCCAGGCCCAAGTAGTTAGTATTAAATACAAACAGTTCTAAAACAAACAGACTTTATTAGAACAGCTGAGAATTAACTCATTCTCAGCGTAGTCCAAACTAAATTAAAGCAAATTCTTCAAAACACCATTCCACAGTTTATCACCAACCTTGGGATAATTAGGCAAACTGTCAAAGGCTTCTCTTGGCAAAAGTTCAGAAGCAGAGGATGCTGAGCAAGATAAGAACCAAGTTTATCAACGTTGTTTTCCGACAAAGAGCCCAAGAGCTGTTGCTGGTCTTTTAAGCCTTATGGGAGGGGCCAATCATCTCTTGGCCCTACTCCCGAGTCGTCCTCTCTGCTTTATCTGCTCCTGCCTTCTGGCAGCTCTTCTCATACGTGCACTAGGAACAGGCTCCTCCTGTTCCTCTGCCTCTCTGCTATCCGCCTCTGGAGGCTCCGGAGTCCGTGCATCACTCCCTGATGGCCCTGGCCCCATTTCTGCCTCCGACGCAGCGCCCTCGTCCTGGTCTTCCCCAGCCTCCAGGACTGACCCATTTTCCTCCCCAGCCTCCTCAGTGTCTGACTCCGCTGCTAGCTCCGCGGGCTGCTGGCGGACCACAACAGCTTGTCCCCGCCTTTCTAGTGGCTTCACATCTGCATAGTTTTCTTGGCCGCAGCGTGAAGGCATTTATCATTTTCTTCCACAGCATAATTTTAACTTCCCTGGCATATCCTAAAGAGATATAAATATATGAGTTTTGCTGGAGCTCTTTCATCCAAGTACCAACTCAATCGGATGCCGCTTTAACTTCTAAATGCCAGATAAAAATCCATCAGGCACTTCGTCTTGCTGTGGACAGAGTTGATATCACTGAATTAAAAGTGTGAACGAATAACAGAATTACAAAATGGGCTTTGGATGTAAGGCGAAGAAGAGCTAGCCTAGTATTTCTCTCTCTCTGCAGCCAGAATCTGCAGATGTTCGATGTTTGTAATATTTTGTAAACAGTCGCCTTTTTTCCCAAGCTCTGAGAAAGCCATTATAGTTGGGATTTCAGACTATTGGGAACAAATCATCGCTCACGGGTTGCTCTGCTGGAGGATATGGGGAGCCATTTTTAATATTTACCTACTACTATAACGTTCCGAGCTCCCCGAGTAGCAGTTTCGAAGGTTCTTACATTCCAAAACAGTGTGGAAACAGATGCTTGGAGAGAGGTAGTAAAAAGGATTGGTGAGAATTACCGATTCTTCAGCGGCACATCTGCACTGAATTGTAGTCCTATCATTTATGGAGGAGGCAGATTCCAACCATGGCAGCCTGCGAAAAGAAGTCAGCAATCGTCATAACAGTCCGTATTCATAACCAATTCAAAAGCTCGGAGAAATGAAGGGATTTTTTAAAAAAATCTAGCTCTGACGAGAAAGCCGAGTGAGATGTCACCACTGAAAATTACCCTAACCCAATGGTGAAATGTAAAATTTGTTACTACTGGTTCTGTAGGCATGGCTTGGTGGGGGCGGTTAATGTGACTGAGTGGGCTTGGCCAACTTTTTTTTTTTTTTAACTTTTAAAACTATTTTTTCTACAACCTCTTCGGCCGAAGAGGTTGTTTAAAAAAATGCTTTTAAAAGCCTCTGACGATCAGGCAACTCAGCTGGGATCGTCAGAGGCTTTTAAAAGCATTTTTTCTACAACCTCTTCATCCGATGATACTGATGCTGTTACCTAGTTGGGTAATAAAACGTCTGTAAGAAAACCACCAAATTCAGAGAGTACCAAGGACCCCACTATTTCCAAATATGTGATTAACCTGCTTGCCCTTCCGGGAACTGTTTCCCATTTGTATTCTTGAAATATGTGCAACAATATTTGAAGTGGGACTTGACTGTCAGAGAATAAAGTGGATTTGTAGCTCACACGATGACTAACTATCCCCACCCCTCTCTCTCTCTCTCTCTCTCTCTCTCTCTCTCTCTCTCTCTCTCTCTCTCTCTCTGTCTGTCTCTCTCTCATTTTTGTTTCGTGGATCCTCTCTTGGATATCCCATGTTGCACCTCTGGGGGCGGAATGATGCACACAGCGATGGCCAAACCGAAGGAGATGCTCTGTCCCGAAGGTAACGCATTCTTTGTCCCTCCATAGTTGTGTTATTGTGGGGTTTTTATTTTTCTTTTCCTCAGCTGGAAAAAGCCAGCCAGCTGCTTGTAGTAATGCAAAGCAGAGATGGGCGCGTTGAATGCAGATGGAGGTCCATTTTTGCTGAGCGTCTTCTTTCCAGAAGCTTCTTTTCGGCATCCAACGTTGTCAGCACTGCCAGGCGAGGGGCTCCTGTCAGCGCTTCCGTAGCAAGAATCCGGTGTCTTTGTGAAGTTGTTCTAAATTGGAAGCAGGCATACCGAAACCTGTCAGTAAGTCTGGCAGAGGCAGGAGAACATATGTCGTGACGTCAGCCTTATATTTCTACCCTTTTTTTAGGATTACGGTCTATCAATAATATATCACAGTTAACGCGCCGGGAAAGATTTAGCGCGGATCAAATCCACACAGAATCTACATGGAGATTCACTCCAGGAATTTAAAACTACTGGGATAGAGGGTTGGGGTGTGTGTGTGTGTGTGTGTGTGTGTGTGTGTGTTTTAAGGTTGTCTGTCGCTTTCTGTTCTTCTTTAGCTTCTCTCTGAAGCTCCGGTGGGGCAAAGGTGAGGCCTCTGGGAAGGTGTGCCAGGTGAAAGAGAAAAGAGCTTTGGACTGGTCCCTTCAAACGTTGCCATCAAAGTGACATGTTTAATGTTGCAGGAAGAGAAAATGTGGGCTTCGTTGTATTAACAGAGCTTAATAAATAATTATGCAGTTAATTACCGGTAAATCAATCTTAGGTTTTTCTATTTTTAGTAAGACTCCAAAAATTGGTGTTTTGCTTTGATTCACATGATCTTCCTTCCTTCCTTCCTTCCTTCTTTCCTTCTTTCCTTCCTTCCTTCTTCCTTTCTTCCTTCTGTCCCTATTCCTTCTCCTTCTCTCCCTCCCCCCTTCTCTATCTCTTTCTTTTTTTCTTTCTTTCTTTACTTTCTTTCTTTCTTTCTTTCTTTTTTCTTTCTTTCTTTCTTTCTTTCTTTCTTTCTTTCTTCCTTCCTTCCTTCCTTCTTCCTTCCTCCTTCCTTCCTATTTCTTCTCCTCCCTCCTCTCCCCTTTCTCTTTCTTTCTTTCTTCTTTCTTTCTTTCTTCTTCCTTCCTTCCTTCTTCCTTCTTCCTTCTTCCTTCCCTATTTCTTCTCCCTTCTCTTCCCTTTTCTTTCTTTCTTTCTTTCTTTCTTTCTTTCTTTCTCTTTCTTTCTTTCTCTTTCTTTCTCTCTCTCTTCCTTTCCTTTCTCCCTTCCTTCTCTTTCTTTCTTTCTTTCTTTCTTTCTCTTTCTTTCTTTCCTTTTTTCCTTCCTTCCCTCCCTATTCTTCTCTCCTCTCCCTTTCTCTTCTCTTTCTCTCTTTCTTTCTTTCCTTTCTTTCTTTCCTCTTTCTTTCTTTCTTTCTTTCTCTCTCTCTCTTTCTCTTTCTTTCTTTCTTTCCTGGGAGGCTCACTATGAAGAGTTAAAACAACATATAACATTCTCTTGTGTTCCCATGTCTTTCTCTTTCAAAAAACAATTTCTATATTAACTGCAAAATACTTGACACCTACAAGACTTGTACCCATTTTACAGTTTAACCCACTCAACTCCCTCCACATGAGAAAAATAAATTCAGCTTTTGGCCATATCTCTTTCTGCTCCAACAAGATGATGGAGTTCTGCATGCCTCCATCAAAATATTCAATATCTCAATAGATTGATCCTCATTTTCATTCATGGCTTTCCTTGACCCCCCACTCCTTGATTTTAGAGAGCTTTTGTAGCTCAGAATTGAAATGAGGGGATTCCTTGGTGCTCTTTGAGCTTGGTAGTTTTCCTGCAGACGTTTCATGACCCAACTAAGTAACATCATCAGTGCCCCTTCATTCTCTAGTTTGTTAATGAAACGTCTGCAAGAAAACCACCAAGCTCAGAGAGCATCAAAAAAATCCCCACTGTTTGATTTTAGACTTTCCTTTTTGCACGGATACAGGGACGCTGTGGCTCAGTGGCTAAGATGCTGAGCTTATCAATCAAAAGGTCGGCAGTTAAGCAGTTCGAATCCCTCGTGCCACATAATGGGGTGAGGTCCCGTGACTTGTCCCAGCTTCTGCCAACCTAGCAGTTCAAAAGCAGGTAAAAAATGCAAGTAGAAAAATAGGGACCACTTTTGGTGGGAAGAGAACAGCGTTCCGTGCGCCTTTGGCCTTTAGTCATGCCGGCCACATGACCAGGGAGACGTCTTTGGACAGCGCTGGCTCTTCGGCTTTGAAACGGAGATGAGCACCGCCCCCTAGAGTCGGGAACGACTAGCACATATATGCAAGGGGAACCTTTACCTTTTGCATGGATATTCACATATGCCTTGGGGCTGGCACTTTGTTTTGTTATTTTAAATGTAAAGATATCTTTAAAGTCATATCTTTAAAGTCACTTATTGGTTTCTCAAGGTTTGGGAAGTCCTATTAGTCATTCTTACAAAACGGAAAAGAAGAATTAGGGAAGGAGAAAAAAAAAAAAATCCTGTGAAGGCTTTGGTCATTGTGTATTGCTGCCACTAGAGGGCAGTCAGGTCTCAGCACTTGGTGCCCATGCTACCACTGGATATATAGAAGGATTTTTTAAGCTTCTTTGGCCATCCCAGAGCCAGTAAAGAATTTCCCAGCAAGCCTACAGTACTTGGGCTACTCTTGACAAAGCAGTATTTCCTTCTTTATTGATTCTGCTGCCACAGTAAAAGGCCGGCGTTGTACATCAATAACTATCTTTAGTTAGGAAACACCGAGCTGGGGAAACATTGCTGGCACTTGCTCTCTTTCTTCCTTCCTCCCCTTTTTTTTCCTCTTCGTTTTTTTTCTTCTTCTTCTTTTTTGTACTGGATCATAAAGTCAACAAAGGAAACATAAAAGAGAGCTGGGAGAATCCAAATGTTTTGGGGCGTAGTTTGAGAGGCTATGGAAGAAGCCATGAACTGAGCAATCATTCCTTCGTTTGGCATTGTCTTCACGGGCTAGACTACAAGGCCCATCGGCCTCAGCCAGCCTGCGTATTTCCCCCTGCTGGTTGCCAGTATGAGGTTTAGGTATTGACTTGTTGAAAGAAATATCCTTCTGGGTTCAGCTCCAAGTGGGGAAAAAGACACTGGAAACATGGAGACTGCTTGGAAAGATGGTTTAATGGTGGACAGGATCACATGGTTTGAGTTCCTGAACAGAAAAGGGGGGAGATGCTGCGAGTCCCCAGGTTTTATGCCCTCTCTGGCTTTGAACTTCCTGATTGGTTGTCAGACTCCCAGGGGATGGGGGGTCTTAGCTAGCCTTGCTGGCTGATATAATCTTCCCAGGTGCCATGTGGTGAGTTTCTGTTGCTAGATGGGTCCTATTGTGTTAGTTTCTGTTTCTAGATGGATCCTATTGTGTTGCAGATGATGGTCCATTGACAAAGGTGGGGGGGATTGGGTTTCTGCCTCTGGCCCATTGACAAAGGTGGTGGTGGGGAGGCAGGAAGGTGGGAGCTGCTTTGTCTTTAAAACATGTTTCTCCATTTCTCATCCAGGGAAATATAATATTCTGCCTTTTTAATATTTCCTAAAATATTTCATTATTCTAGGAGAGGGGTGGGTGCTAACTTCCTACAGGCTCCATGTTCAGGCACTGAAAAACTTTTTTCTCCTCTGCATGTCGTATTTTTTTTAAAAACCTCACAGGCAACAGTATTTTCTAGCATCGTGGAACTAGGTTATAAGTTCGTTAGTTATTTTAAGCAACGGGATTATATCATTTTGAAAACACAGATTGCTCTTCGATCCAAGTGATCTGTAGATATCAATATTAATCTGTTGGAAGAAATCTCCTTCTGGGTTCAGTTCCAAGTGGGGAAAAAAGACACCGGATTCATGAAAGTTGCTTGGAAAGAAGGTTTATGGATGAACAGGATCACATGCCTTGGAGATCTTGGGCGAAAAAAGGGCAGAGATGCTGAGAGTGCCTGGGTTTTATACCCCCTCTGTTGAGCTTTTGAATTTGAGCTTGTATTCTGATTGGTTGTCAGACTCCCATGGGGCCATGCAGGGGCAACTCTGTAGGCTGTGCTGAGTCCCAGGCTTGGTTGACTCTTGCTGGGTGATGATGTCATGAAAGGGCTTTGGGGAATTCTTATTATGGCTCTGCTAGAAGGAGGTAGATCTGTTATGTAGCATAGACTGGCCCAGGCCTTAATGGCCCATTAACAAAGGTGGGGGATGAATTTCTGGCTCCCTTTTAGGGGAAATATTCTGCTCTTTTAATATTTCCTAAAATATCTCATTTCCCTAGGAGAAGGGTGGGTGCTAGCTTCCTACAATTCAAAGCTCTATAAGACATAAAATAAGATTTTCACTGTCCTTGGATTGTCCATGCAGGAGACCTTTGATCTTCTCCCCATGAGCATTGTTTGTTAGGACACCTCTGTTGGTATTCCTCAAGGCTTCCTGTTCCCTTTTAATTCTTTTTAAAAAAAATTTCTCGATGCAACTTTAACTTTCAATGTCTTTAATCAGCTTAAAAGTTTTTAAAGCAAATGTTTTAAAAAGGACATAAAACAGTTGGAAGGGACTTTGAAGGTCTTCTAGTACAACCCCCTGCCCAGGCAGGAAACCCTACACCACTTCAGACAAATGGTTATCCAACATCTTCTTAAAAACTTCCAGTGTTGGAGCATTCCCAACTTCTGGAGGCAAGTTGTTCCACTGATTAATTGTTCCATCAAGAAGTTTCTCCTTACTTCTAGATTGCCTGTCCTGCCTTCAGGTTCTTTGGAAAATAGAGTGACCCCCTCTTTTTTGTGGCACCCCACAAAGATATTAGATCTTCGATATTAGATATTGGAGCACTGCTGTCATTGATAGTGATATTGATTTTAGTACATAATTATAATATATTTAATTATTTAAATTCAATATATTGATATTGAAACACTTCTTCGGAATTAAACAGATCCAAAATTCATAATATTATAAGACGCTCTCTTTTCCCAG